ACTGAATCCGGAAGCTCCGGCATTGGTGTGCCGGGCCTTCGCCTCCTCCTCGTCGACACAATCGGTTTCATGGCTGACTTGCCGCGGGACTTGATTGCTGCCTTCAGGGCCACTCTCATGGAGTGTCTGGATGCAGTACGCTGACCCATATTCCTTTAGTTTTGCTATTGCTCACTTCCCCTGATCTCCTCTTTCATCCTTCTGTTCCACCGTTCTCCCATTTCCTCGTTTCACTTCGCCCCCTCTCTGCCGTTATGCTTTCTACTACCACTCCTGCGCAATTCTCTCTAAATGTGTTGTAGGACTTCATTCTTCACGTGATTGACGTGAGCCAGCCGGGCTGGCAGGTCTTCTCCAGTTATATCGACCAAGTCCTCCGTGATGCAGGTGTGCATTCAGCCACCACCGCTGACCAACCGCCGCGACCCGTCTCTCAGGGCGACGAAACGGCGGGACCCCAGCCCTGGCAACCCGTTCTATTACGGGTAGGGAATAAGTGTGATCTCGCGTAGGTGTCTTTCTTGCTTTCCTTCTTTCCTTGCTTCAGCTAAAACGCATATGAAACATCGGTAGCTGAAGAGAGCCTTTCGGAGGATATGTTTAAAAATCAACTAGTCTTTTTTTTAAAGCAAGGCTGGAAAATAACCAGAGAGCAGTAGAGAATGAGAGGGCGAATGCAGGCATCTATAAATCGCCAGATTAGGTCTTGAGGTGTGTGCTCTGAACGTAACCGACGAATATAATATCCGAGTTTATGACTTCTAATGAAGAGGATTTCAATATGAAACACTAGATGTCAGAGTAACACCAAGATACCGGAAAGAGGATACTTCAATGGACAGGACGTCTAAGGATTCAGAACTGAAAGAGAGTCGCAATCGGAAAACGCAGTGAACTGACTTCTGATTATTTAGTAGAAGGACATTGGCTAAAGACCTTTCTGAGACGTGGTCCAAGCCATCTTTCAGAACCTGGAGAGGATGAGCAAAAACCATATTATCAGCATGTTTTGCATACAAACATCCGGCGATCGTACGTCGTGAGTGTGGAGGAAAAAGAGA